AGCAGAGCCCCTGGCTGTGGCCCAAATGAGCTGGGACCGGAGTCTCCCAGTCACCCCTGGGAGACAGCGCGGTCGGGCAGGAGAAGGCTCCTGTTTGCTATAGGCAGGCAGCACCACAACTGGTCCGGGTTGCAAAGCATTTGGGGAAGATGCCAGTCTTGTCATTGCAGCGCCCTTCAAGCCAGTCCTCGTTCACTGGGAAAACGTAAAGAAGCAGGATGAGCCCTGGCCCACGAGTGGGGTTAGCGAGAGCTTTCGTGGCTGGGATTTCACTCTGGACAAAACCCAGCGCAAGGCTGCACCTCCTGAGAGCGTGAGCCTGAGATGGCACTGGAGAGGCCATCTGTTCCCCAGTCCCTCCCTGCAGCAGCCTCCAAAAGCCTGCCCCAGCACAAGGACTGGGGAGCTACCTTCAGAGAGGATATCCAGCACGTCTCCCTTGCTGAACTCCAGGTCCCCGGGTCCCTGCGCAGGGTAGGAGTGCTGAGCCAGCATCCGGTACAGGACGGGTCTGCCCGAGTGGGAGTCTGAGTCCTGCAGGAGAAAGTCAGCGTGGAGGTTGCAAGGCAAAGCAGAGATTTGAGTCCAGCTCAGCAGAGGAGCTTGTCACAGCCCACGTACCTGGCAGCAGAGCGTCAGCCTCCCATCTGTCAGCTGCTGCCACATCTTCCCCAGATCCTCCTCTCCTGAAACTGCGCCCAGTTCTTTGCCATCCGAATGCCTGTAGCTGCAAGGATTCATTAACATGGCTCGAATCACCTCACTTAAAGCCAAACCTCTAAGGAGAGCCTAGCCCTCTAACACCTTCAGTCTTCAAAGTCCCCTTTGTAAGCCAGCTCTGAGCTTGTGACCCTGCACAACACCACGGGGCCACCCTGCGTGCTCAGTGGGCAGGAACAGGACTGTCAGGGAGTGCCACTGCCACCTCCTCACTCTTACTTGAGGGAAGATCCTAAACTCTCCTGACTACACCGTGTCCCCAGGGCTGTCACAGCCAGGGAGACCTCACCCCTAAACCAATGCACGCTTACACCTGACTCCCAAATTGCTCTGCATTGACCCTAGCGTGTCTCAAAGGCTGAGCTGAACGGCAGGAAATTCAGCTGCATCTGCACAGTTTTTCCTCCTGTTCCCCCACTTCTTGACCATGTTACAGTTTCTTTGGAAAGATCCTTTGGGCTTCCAAAGCCCACAGAGCACAAGCTGTTCTCCAAACCAGAAGCCATGGTGAGGTTAGCCCTGCAAGGGAGGCTGTTTGCTCACATCTTTGCTGAATCTCTACTAGAGTGCTTTGACCCCTGATAACTGTTTCCAGGAGACCAGACGCAGGTCTGTATCCTCAGGGGAATGGCTGCTGCCATCCTGTCACACATGGAGGGCCCGGCTGAGATGCTGCATACCTCAGTTTCCCTCGCTCTGCCTGCTGGCAGAACCGCTCCTTCAGCAGAGCCCGCAGGTTGGGCAGAGACGGCACCTCGCCTGCCCTCACCACCACCGTGCACTCACAACGCGCTCGCAGCACAACGGGTCTGTCCAGTGAAGCTTCGCCTTGGCTTGGTGGGATCTGCCGAGAGATGTGGCACAGTGGGCAGTCTGGTTATTCAGGATTCTCATATCACACACACACAGAATCACACAGAATGTCAGGAGTTGGAAGGGACCTGGAAAGCTCCCCCAGTGCAACCCCTGCCACAGCAGGATCACCAGAGCAGTCACACAGGAACATGGCCAGGGCTTTGGGTGTCTCCACACAAGGAGACTCCACAACCTCTCTGGGCAGCCTGGGCCATGCTCCATAACCCTCACACTCACAAACTTTGGCCTCATCTTCAGCTTGAACCTCCTGTGCTCCAGCTTGGGACCATTGCCCCTTGTCCTGGCATTGGCCATCCCAGAGCAGAGCCTGGCTCCTTCCTCCTGACACTGCCCTTTCCAAATGGATCCCCAGGAATGAGGGCACCCCTCAGTCTCCTCTGCTCCAAGCTCAAGAGCCCCAGCTCCCTCAGCCGCTCCTCAGCAGGAGATGCTCCGCTCCCTCCAGCATCTCTGTGGCCCTGCTGGACTCTTTCAAGCAGTTCCTGTCCTTCTCGAGCTCAGGGCCCAGCACTGGACACAAGATTGCAGATGTGGAGGTGACACAGACCAGTCCCATGTCTCAAGTGGTACCATATAACACTGGTGCAGCATCAAAACGCAGACCTAAATTTTAGAGGGGGAACTACAGATTCAAAGCCTGGGGTCAAATGCTCCTCCCAGCCTGATTCTGGGTCCAACCACACAGGTACCTCCCACCCCCAACTCCTCCAGCCAGCTGGAGAGGTGCAGCCAAGTCCTCATGTTCTGCTGCCTTCTGTTCGAAGTTTCTGCCAGAAAATTACTGCAGAAGCCCTACAATGAGGGGTGGCAAAGCCAAAGGGTGCAGAGCTGGTCTGCAGCTGGCACTGCCAGAGCGGTGCTGTCCCCAAGTGGACGCAGGAGCGATTCCGGCTCCATCACACACAGCGGTTGGTAATGACATGGAGATGCATCAGGGGTTATCATCTCAGAAGAAAGCAAAAATGAATGGATTGTGGTACCCAGACTGACAGGGACAGGAAATGCCACACAGGAGGAGGGGGAAAGGGACAGCGTAGCTCGAAGGCAGCTCTCTTGCAAAACGGGCTGTGAGTGCATGCCTGAGAACACTGCTGTGCCTGGGGCTCTTGGCTCCTCAGAGGGCACTGCCCTGGAAAGCCTCAACCTTGGGCCGCCTCAGAAAGCTGTGTGGTCACAAACTTGGGAGTGAAGTGGAAACAAAGACATGAGAACCTCTCTTCAGAATGGGAAAATGGGCAGAGGAAGTTTTTTCCAGTGATTTTGGGGCAGCTCTGCAGGATGTGGCCAGGAATCTTGCACCTTTTACAGCCTTGATCTCTTGAGGCTGTGGCAGCTTCGGCTTGTGAAACACTTTACCTCAAAGTCCACTTGGGCGCCAGCATCGTTTGCAGGGATTTCTTCTCCCCTAGATCCTGCAGAACAAAACGAGTGCAGAGGACCAGCAGTGCAGCAGAGGCTCCCAACAGCTCTTCTGCAACCCGCTGGCACACAGACAGCTAGGCCCAGCCAGCCTCCCCCCGCACCCCTAAAGCAGGGGACAGCCTCATGTAGCACCCACTGACGTCCCTGGCCTGGGGACTACCTGGCTTCTGCTTCCCGTGGAGCCGGCTGGGAGGCACCTGGGCAGGAGGGAGGGGAATCCCATTGCTGATCTTCTGCAACAGAACAACATCAGAAAGGAGTGAGCAGAAGACACCAGAGACCGGGCAAGGTGTGCACGACAGAGGCTGCAGCCGGTTACACACTTCTGGGTGCAAGCCCAGGGAGACCAGTTCATTAAATGGCTGGATGAGGTGGAGCATTCAGGCTCTTAATGGTCTCTGCAGCTCTTGTGGGTGATGAGAGGTGTGGTGGGACACTTCCCTGGCCTCCTGCCCCTTGTTGGGCTGGCGCTGGAGCAGAGGGAGGCTGCTCACGCTGCGCTGAGGGCTCTCCCCACCATCTGCCAGCTCATCCAGACACACTTGGTCTGGTTCACAGTGAGGTATCCATGGTGTGTGCTATGGTTGGGGATTCATTCCGAAAAAAAGACCATAGCAACATCAGAACAACCATGTGCTTCAAAAATCTCGCACAGGAACAGAGCTCTGAGTTGCACCTTTCCACACATCCCAGAGGTGGATGAGCCTCCTTTGCTAGATTTGTGTCGCACCTTTCTATGTTTCTCTGATCACCCCATGATAATCTTACAAATAAATGTCCCAAATGTACTTCTTGGTCCCTTCCTCGCCCCTGGTTGCAAGGCTGCCAGCTCACCCATTTATCCATCTTCGAGGCAGGCTCCAGGAGAGAGCTGGGTATGCGCAGCTTCTGCGGGACACAAAGCAGAGCAGGGTGAGACAGGAGCTGCTGCTGCAGCAGACGCAGCCCCAGCCCGCACAGCCCCATCTGCTGCTGCCCCTGCAGACCACCCCTGCCTGCTCACCCTCCTGCAATGGGGGGCTCAGGGTCGCATGCAGTAGCCCACGTTGTGCTCAGAAATGGCTCAACAAAACCCAATGGGTCTTTAGCATCTTTTTCAGTGCTGCTGATTGAGTGGCTGCGATGTAACAGGCCCAACACCCACCAAGCCCAACTCCCTGCTCCCAAAAGTGCCCAGGTAGAGAGCAGCGAGGATGTCAAGGGGTACCCATCCAGCAGCATTTCTGTGCTTTCTGACAATGGCTGCTATAAAGCTATTAATTTCAAGTGACGGTTCTGAGTAATCATGCTTTTTTTCCCCCCAGTGTCTATTATTTCACTCTGAATTTCATCTGACACTTCACTGAGCAGTCAACCAGCACATTCAATTCCTCCTGTGACTGTGCTGCATTGTTAGCTCCAGATGCTTCAGGCTACGCTGAATGGTTTGATTGTCTGTTACCACGGTCACCTTAAGCAGCACTATGTCACCATCCCTATTATTGTGTCACTTAGGAATGTGCTAAATGCTTAAGTCGCAGCAGATTCTTTGTGGGGAAATCCTTAAAAAGAAAGAAAGAAAAACCTGTTCACCTATGGCCACCCTTTATTTCTATATTCTAACCTGTCATCAGTCCTCAGAGCACTGCCTCTCTTGCTCAAAGAGCTATTTTTGTTAGTGGTCTTGTGAAGTATCTTTTGACTTTCAAAAAATATAATGCAGGTGTGCACTGGGTCTTTCACAGAACTTAAATAGACATGTGAGAAATGGCTTCTGTCAACAAAAGATTTGCCACGTTGTCACATTTATGTGTTCCTACTCCATCTGTTTGCACTCTAGTTCCCTAGTCTGCAGAAAGATGTCAGATTTGCTGGGTTTTAATTCCTTAGGTCTTCTCTAAGGCCCTTTATAAAACCTGCCTACACAGCTGAAACCCTCCCCAAACCTTCCCAAAGTTAATTTAACAGAGACACTACGCACCAGGTAAGGACTGACCTGTCTCCTCAGCCCTGTTAGAGCTCTCAGGTGACCCCTAAATGGTGCTCCTGGGTGAGGTCTGCTATCCTACACAATACCACGATAGGATCCTGTATGGTGCAGAGCACAAGTGCCCCAAAAGATGCCCTTGTGGAGCTACAAAGGGGAATGGCAGAAGCTGGCAGGAGCCAAGTGTCAGAGAAATCCATGGTTAGCAACTGGTCTGGGGAAATGAGCTCCTGAACTCATCCTCTGCCCTGCTGTGCTACAGGTGGGTCAAGGAACGTGCTCAAAGGGCTGCAGGGAGCTCCTCGGCACTGGTCAGACCACACCTTGAGCACTGTGTCCAGTTTTGGTCCCTGCTATCCAAAAAAGATGTGGACAGGTTGGAAGGGTCCAGAGCAGGGCCATGAGGATGCTCAGAGCACTGGAAGAGCTGGGAAAACTGGGCCTGTTCAGCCTTGGGAAGAGAAGGCTCAGGGGGGACCTTGTCACCATGGACCAGGACATCAAGGGTGGCACCAAGAGGATGGAGACTCCCTTGAACAAGGAGTCCCATGGAAAAGACGAGGGGCAATGGACTCAAGTTGTGTCTGGAGAGATTCCCACTGAACTCCAGGAGAAATTTGTTTCCCATGAGATCAATGAGACACTGAACAACTCCAGGGAAGTGGTGAATTCCCCATCACTGGTCAGTCTGAAGAGGCAGCTTGACAGGGGCTGACCCATCTCATTTAAACGATGCTTTTACCTCTGGAGGTTGGACTGGATGGTCCTGGTGGTCCCTTCCAACCTGGTACTATATGATGCTATGATTCCTGTTTGCAGGCAGGGCTGTGGTCTCTCTTCCTTACCTGCCCATCGTGTATGGCTGTGGCCCAGCCATCCGTGCCTCTCGTCAGTACAAAGACCAAGCTGCCGCCTTTCACTGCCAACCTCTCCGAGTCCTCAGGGTAATGAGGGGACACAACTCGATAGTAGCCTGACTCACTGTCCCTGGAAAGAAAGAACAAGAGCACCTTTACTAACCCTGGATGGCTTTGACCCAGAACACTGCACCCATCCAAACTGGAACGTGCCAGAAGTTTCAGGCATTGGGAAATGATGATTTCCATTGCTACTCTTTGGTCCAACTGGGAACAAAGGGAGCTTGGAAAACACCGACTGCCCCATTTTCACTGTACTGATAAACATTCTCCATACCAAAACAGTTATTAAACTCAGCCCTGAAGTACTGCTGGTACAGTATCAACAAAACAAATGACTTTCATGGTTTTTGAACCAGGGCTGGTTTTGGCTCATCGCAGCAGGGCTGGGAGTGAATATTTGGACATCTTCCCATGGGAACTAGGATGGGACAGTGAGCATCCTTTGTCACGGACCTGGGTAGGTCCCACAGCCTCTCTCTGCTTGCATTCCCCAGCCTCAGCATGATCCATGTCTGCCTCCCAAGACTATTGAATGAACTCCTGCAAACTGCCCTGGGATTCTTGCATGAGAGATGCCACTGATCCCAGCCACAGGAGCCTTTGCATGTTTGCCATTCGCTCCACCCTTGGTGAGAAGTGGGTGTGGATCCCACGGAGTCTTCAGACAAAGACACCAAAGAACAAAACATGACCTTCTGAACAGAAACACTGAGAGTCAGACCAAGGTGGAACTGAGCACTTACCGCAGAGCATCCGCACTGGGTTCATAAAAGCCCTGTTTCTGTGGGAGGAACAACAGCAGCTATTTATAACAGCACTTGATGTAACAGTGCCACCTCATTTACTGTCCCTCTGAACACCCTTCTCTGGTATGTCACTGCTTCTGAGCACAGTTTTCACACTACAGCATCCAGAGAGAAGTCTGCTGCTCCACACCTTACCAGGATGTACCTTCTACCTCTCCCCCTCCTTCTTTATCCCATCAGGAGAAGGTACCAAAGGCTTTTCCCTCACCCCTGGCTCTAAGAAACTCATGTTACAGTGCAAGCCAGCCTGCTTATGCTGACGGATTTACTAAAGTGCTGGGCAAAGCTGCGTTGAGTACAGCAAAGTCTCCACTGCTGTTTTGATGTGGCAAAGAGACAAAAACGCATCTTCAAAGGGCTGGAGACTCACATCGCCGAGTCCCTTCCAGCCACTGTTGGAGCCCACCTTTGAAAGGCCCCGTGGATCCAGTCTGACTGCACTGGTTTTCACTGTGTTCTTACCATGATGGTGTTACGATCTGAGACACTACCTGGAGCTCCATGACAGCTCCATTCCTCCTTTCACAGCTCTGTGTTGCTCACCTGAGGCCTGAGAGGCTCGAAGCCAATGTATTCATCGTTGGGAATGATGGATGAGATTACCTGTGGGAGGACAAGGCTGGGTGAAGAGACTCCCAAACGTCGTGCAAGGTTCTCTACTCAGACTCGTTTCCTCCTAAGGTCAGGCACAGAGCCATGCACATAGTGGAAAAAGCAGAGCTGGATTCCCAGAACAGCTTCAATTGCTTGTGTCCCTGTTTTTTAAGTCATCCCAAGGTTTCTTTAAAAGCACATTAATTAATTATTTCCCTTTTTCCATGTTGGAGCTCTCTGGCCCGTGGCACTTCTGCTGACTGCAGGGGTCACAGAAGGGATCAGAGAAATTCTCTGCTGACTTGTGCTAAGGGATGTGACAAAGCATTTGTCTCCAAGCGCCTGCCTGTCCCAGCGGGAACGCGGCAGCGGGTAGGAGTGTGCTGGAGGAATGTGCTCCTCTTGAAAATGTCACTGTCAGCAAAAGGACAACCACGGGGTTCCCGAAGTACTCACTCAGCTTTTTCAGAGTTTAAAGCGACCAAGATGTGGAAGGTTTTTCAGCACCAAAGTGCATTTTTGGTAGAAGAGGTCATTCTAACCGACTTTAGCTTCTGTGGCCCAGATGCCTTGACCGGCTGCAAGCCCTGACAACCCTGCTCTATGGTCTTCACCAGTGACCGGTGGCCAGCAGTAATGAATGCTCTCTGGAGATGCCAGAGGGAGGGATTTTAGTCTGCTTGCTGTTCACATTACCAATTACATGCCCGTTACCTTGGGTTTACCCAGGAAATCTTTGGAATCCAGCTGTTCAACTTCCTTCTTTCGTGGCCTGAAAAATTCCCCGAGAGGAACGTGCATGGGCTCTAAAAACAGGCGGTCCTAAGGCAGGGAAAGCAGACAAGGGAGAAGCCATCAATTAACATAAAATAAAACACAGCAGCAGTGAAAAGCAAGTACAGCTTCCCTATGTGTGCAAGATCAGCTCCAGGAAGACGCTGGGGCAAAAATTATGGCTGTGAACTTGAAAAAGGTCACAGGGGTTTAACAAGCACATGCAAACTAAGAGCTCAGCAGCCACTACCCAGTGTTGAGTCAAAGCCCAAGGGCTGGCATGGGATGGGTGGGAAGGGAGGGCAGTGCAGTGAGGCTGATTAAACAAATCTGCTAAGCAGATTTCTGTTCGGTCTCATGTGTTGTTTTTTCCTCCTCTGTTCAACAACTGAGTACCATGCTAATAGCAAATATAAATAATACACTAAAGTAAAGCACAAACGTGACACTAGAGGAGAAGATCAGATCTTAAAAAAAAAATCACCTCTTAGAAAGGATACCAATATAAGGAACGATGGAGACAGCAAAATAATGAGCAACCCAGGAAGAGTAAACCAGAGATCTGCGAGTTGTTCTTGATCATAAGAGTCTACCAGGAAACTGTAACTTAGAACCAACCCTGGAAACACTTTTACACTCTACCTAAGCTCTAAATGCGATTGTTGTTCATACCTGAGCTGCCACCAATTGTCACTGAGGCCACAGGGACTCAAAAAAGTCAGCCAGGGTCATGAAAAGGGAGACCTCCAAATCTGCACTTGCAAGGGCTCTGCACCTAAACACTGCATAAGGCAACTTGTCTTCCAGCACAAGTACGGTGAGAACGAAGCTCCTGCACAGCAGAGACTAGAAAGCAACCTCTCCAACTTGAGTGGTTATTCCCTAATTCCCTCTGGTGCTTTGGAGTTACTTGATCAGCTGAAGCACCAGTTTGGTAGAGCATCACATGCACACGGCTTAGACTCCATTACCAGGTCACCAAGGATGTGGGCAGGCAGAAAAACCCAAGCATACAACAGTCAGCACATTCTTATCTCACATTTCTTAACTTAAGCCCAATGCACATACCCAGGAACTGCCACAGGTGGCCTTACCTGCACCCGCTCGAGGGCCAGGTCCAGGATTGCCGTTCTCCCTTCAGGTCTCCACACAACGGCCTTATCCAGGGTGACTCTGGCCTCCTGCCACTGCTGCAGCCGGCACTGCGCTGCCGCAACGCTGTACAGCACCTGCAGCAGGAGGGAGCAGAGCTCAGAGGGCTGGGACTCAACACGACTTACTGAACTCAGCCAAAAAACAGGGGGCAGGCACCGAAACACCCGAGATACAGCAGCAGCACCAATCTACTCCTCACTGGCCATAGGAAACGTGCTCTGAGCAGCACAGCTGAGAAAACTTCATCATCAGAGTGGAAAGGGAGAAAAGCTGCACCTCCGGGTTGGCTCCTGGGGTTGCTGGCTCTGCTCAAGGCAAGGAGGTGGATGGGGAACACCAGGTGAAGGCTCTGGTACCACACAAGTTTTGATCTCCTCTTTCCTGCATCCAAAAGGCCAGGCAGGATTTTCCTGGGTTTCCTTCTGTGTGCAACTCGGTAATATTTCTTTTGCCATGCAGAATAATCCTGACTCCTGCACTGCCAAATAACGGAAGCTATTTCAAGTCGTAGTGGGCTGCGAATGTGCAAATTGTCAGCTGGAGCTTGCCACCCTTCAGCAGCGTGTGAGTATGTTCAGTGGTGAAGTGGCAAAGTGTGGGAGCATCTCAGACTGGGTGCTGGGAAGCCTTGATCTGTGCGCTCAATTAAGAGTGGGAGATCTCTTCTTGTCACTGGCCAACCGTGCGTGGAAAAGCTGCTGGCCTGCAAGGCAGGAGTGTGGCCCAACAGACCCGCTGTCAGGTAGCTTGCTATCTGATAGGGTTATCAGCTTGGAAACTGCTCTGTGGCATCTGGATGCAAGCAGCGCTTGGGACAGGGGTGCAGCTAATGGGATGCTTTACTCCTTAATCATCACAGTAGAAGGCTGCTGTTTGCAGGTGGTGAACAGCAATCCCGAACATCTACAGGAGCTGCAGAGATGTGCCCTCTTGGAGAGGCAAGGCAGCAAGCTCTCGCTCAGCTCCAAAGCGCTACAGCCTCACAACAGGCAAATATTCCTGGATTTTCAAAGAGCACAGCGTATCTCCCTGGAGAAGATCAGAGGCAGCACGGGAGAGGCCACACATGGGGAAAGTTCTGCAGGAGGATTAGATTACGCCTGTGTATTCTGAAAACCGAGCTGCAGGGAGATGTAAGAGCGAGGTAGAGTCGACTCAGGATGCAGATCCTGAGTGCAGCGTGCACCAGAACCGGTACCACCTCCTCCGGGCGGCCTCGGGGCGCCCCTGCCCCCTGCGCCTTTCCAAGCAGTGTCGTTTCCAAGTGTGTGTGAGCTCAGAGGAGGCAGCGCCGTGGCACTGAAACTGTTAAAAGCAGCGAGGTCTGGGTAATACCACAGATGCCAAGGATAGCTTCTTCCTGCCAGGTATAAGGTGCACGAAAATTGACCGAGGCTAAATGACGGGTTTCTGGGCATGCTTGACGTGAATTGCGCAATGACTCCTCACTTTCACGGAAGTAAAGAATTAAATCTCTTCCCTGCTCTTCCCTGCATCTACTTTTCAGTCTCTGTGTGTGGACAGAAGATGAAACGAACCCTTGCAGCAAAGCACAGCTCCTAAAAGTCTCTTACTTTCCAAATATTCCAAATATTTACAACCAATTCAGGCTTGGATCTTTTAGAACAGGATGGGGCAGGCTGGCTCCACGCAAGAGCTGCAGCATGGTGTGTTAGAGAAGCAAAGCACAGCTTGCAGCCCAGTGTGCAAGTTCAGACACAGAGGTAGCGTTAAGACCAGCTGCTATAGTTGGAAAGACAGGCTTTCGTGCACATAAGTTTCTTACTCTTCACTATGGACCAATTTTGTTCCCATTTGTCTACACTTCAAGCTATTTCAGCTGTTAGAGCTGAGCAGAACTCACATGCATATTTACATGCATGTAAGTATAAATATTACATGCATAGATAAGCTAAAAAACCTCAATAAACAAATTCCTGTGCATTTGCTCTGAAGAGTTTTACTTTTCAGACCGCATCATTTGCTAAACTCTTCAGAGATGACATTGTCTGTGACTTCTATCATTGATTTTCTTTAAAAAACAAACTGCAAGCAGAATTTTTTTCCCTGTTCTGATGTAGTGCCTTGACAAGCTCCTGTGTTACCCACAGGTAAGGGGAAGGACTGCTGAGCCAGGCTGACCCTTACCTCCCATGCATAGAGTATGTGCCTGAGCCCCAGCTGCTTGTAATCGATGAAGGGATTTTTTCTGAGGTGACTGAAGGCCATCTGATAGTCAGAGAGAGCTTCCTCGTACCTGCAATGCAGAGATGACAGAAGCAACTGAGACTAAAATAATGAAGACTCTAATTAAGGAGTGCAAAAAATCAAGCTAGCAACAACCCCACGTATCCTCCTCTGTAGGCTGGATGAGGAGAGCTGCGCTAGAGACGTGTGACAACTTGCGACCACAGAAAATTCCCCGTCCTCTCCTTGCTGCCAGTCGGTACAAAATGAACACGGTGCACCTGGGATTATCTGTGCATGTTTACTGATTGGGATGAACAGGAGGTTTCGATACCTGAAATAGCTGCAGTTCCATGGAGGAGAAAATGTATAGAAAAGTGCTTAACAAATGCTGTGAGCTCCTTGTCCAGCTTGGTGCTTGGCAAGTTTGTCCCACGGGAGAAGTGAGGGCTTGGAAACCCCTGCTGATGGTGAGCAGTGAGTGTACGTGCATGGTCAGAGCACGGCAAGCAGAAATGCTGAGAAACTCTAGGGGTAAGGAGGGAATTAGTCTGGATTTACACCAGCGGTGCTACTTGAAATCAGAACAGGTTCTTGCTGAGGTGGTGAGAGGAAGGGTCCAGGAAGGGCCGTTCAGTGGTCACCCAACCAGTGAGTACAGCCCAGGGAAGGTGCCCAGGTGGATGTGGTGGGTGGGAGCAGCATCTGGTGAGGGAAGGAGCCATGGGGAGCTGGTGGCTGTCACCTCCTGGGGCAGGGGGCACAGTGTGTGTGTGCTTGGGGCAGGCTTGCTCTGTTTCTGGAGCAGGGTGGATCAGCTCAGTGTTTTGGCCAGGGCTCCACCATCCCTGATGGGAGCTGTGCTGCACAGAGCGTGAGGTGGGCTCTGAGTGCAGGACTGCTCGCTTTGACTCCCTCCCAGAAATACAGGCATTTGGTGGGAATTAAGGGCTGGAAAATATGGGGGAAATAACAGGAAAGAGGATGACTGAACTTCGGAGGTAAGAAAGGATTTGTAAAATCCTCCGCCCACCTCTGTGAGCAGGATGTCACTGCGATTTAACCTGGAAACAACGAGTAATCAATCCCACGACCCAACATTAAAGCAGTGAGATTGAGATCAGGCCCAGAAAACCTGCTGTCAGCAGAGAGTGAGAGTCAGACATTGCGGGCAGACTGCATTTTTAGGAAGGCCAGACTCATGGGTACCATGCCAGCATACAACAAGCAGCACAATTTATTATCTGAATGGCAACATAACCCCCTGGCAGCCCACATACAGGAGCAGCTTCTTTCCCTCTGTGTATGAGACAGTAATGTCATGGATTAGCCACCCCTGGGGTCCTGGAGTTGTGCACATCGTATTTGACCAGAGCTAAGACTTGCTGACCCATGATGTGGTTTACAAGGCCAAACTGGACCTTAGGAACTGGTGAAGATTGCTGGAAGAAGTGAATTTTAGGAATAAAGTAAGGCTAAAAGGAGAAAACCAAAGAATGAAATGGACCCATGCCTCACTCACATTTCCAGCTGCAGATGGACAAACCCTCTCTGGAAGAAGCCCACAGCCAGGGAGTTGTCCTTCGCAACAGTTTTATCGAATGCCTGAGGAGAAAAACACAGATACATGCCAAGGATCAGTGAGGATCTCTCCTGTCGATGCCTGGGTATATGCATCCAGCCAGCCATGTCTGAGTTTCACTCGTGCTGGGCACAGAAGCCATCCCTGGGCTTGTGACCATGGAGCTGCAGTGAGGGCTGAGGGGCAGGAGGCAGCTCCAAGCCATCTTGCAGGTCTTGGTTCTGTGTGAGCTGAACTTCAGGTTTTTTTATCCTTCCTTGGGAAAACAGACTGGACATACGAAATGAGCTACATCTGCGATCCAGCATCTTGTAATGGGAAAATTGTGTTGCCTGGAGCAGGGTTTGCCCTGACAGTGGGAGTAGCAGGACTGGAAAGGCTGGGTGAGGCTGTTTGAAACAGCCCAAGGTGATGAGTACGTGAAGGGGTGCAAGGGAGGAAGCTGAAGGGCTTCACACTGCACCTACGAGTCAGTATTTCTGGTCCAGTTTCCCAGCTGAATACAGGCAAGTATTAGCAAAGCTGGTAGCAGCTCGTGGCTGATGGTTCAAAGTAACACTGTGCTGGGAAAAATGTCTTAACGTCTTTCTGAGCAAGCTCCTTCACTTAGCATTGCAGAGATGACAAGCAGATAACAAACCTAGCCTGAAACCCTGGACTTTCCTGCTACTGCCTAGACAGGGATAGCATTGCAGGGCAGAAGATGTGTTACAGGAGGTCAGGGAGTGGCTGCACCTCTTGGTGAGGTGGTGGCTGGCTTCTCCCACAGCTCTCACAGCATACCTTGCTTTAACAGCCTGCTTTACTGGGCTATAAAAGAGAATACATAAACAACCAACCGCTGCCCTACACGGAAGCAAAGCTGAGCTTCTTCCCACTGGATGCCCGTTTATCAGGGCTAAAACGTCTCTCCTGGGCACCATCACCCTGCGCTCTCTGTTGTCCCTTACAGCCACTGCCCTGCCCGGGGCTCCACGGCTCTGCCCCGGCCCCTTCAGCACAACCTGAGCTGCTCTTGCTGCTATTCACGAAATGCCTATACACATCTCCTCACTGGGCTGCCGACAGACAGACAGACAGACTGACAGCCGTGCAGCCATGCTCGGTGCTGTAATAAAAGGGCTTTTTCTCAGGGTGCTTGTCTGCCTGCACCAGCACGGGCGGCCGCTTTCTCTTTGCAAAGGGTTTCCAGCATCGCCGTGTCTTTTCGGCAGCCTCACCCGCTTATCCAGGACAGCTCGGGGATACGAGAGGCCACAAGACCTCTGGCTGTGCCCATCACCCGCTGTGTCCGTCACTGGAAGTGCCCATCATCACCAGTTGCGTCCACCCCCTCTCTCGCATTCACGCTCTCGCCCGATGTGCAGGATACGAAACTCTGGATTTTAATTAGTTTGAGTTTCAGCATTATTCCCCTCA